CGCCCGCGCGAAGAACTTACACTTCTTCTTCGCTCGTCTCAGCTCCTGGGCGAACGTTTCCACGTGCGTATCTGAAACAGCGTGAGACCGAGCCCCGACTTTAGCGAAGAAATCGGCCCACGAATTGCCAATCTGCCACTCTGGGGGCTTGACGGGGTGCATCAAACAAAACTCTTCGAGATCGAGGTGCGCTGGGACCCATTCAAAACTGGGAGGACCTCGGGACGCAGAACTCGCGAAGAATTTCCTCCAGATCGACGCGTGGGTCCCTTGGGCCATGGACAAACTGGGTGACAAGCTCTGGCCCTCCCTCACGGCTCCTCGCAAATCAGAAACTAAAACTCGCAGAGACGGAAAACGTCTAACTCCCTGCAGCTGAGCCCAGCGCTCGGCAGCACCTACGGTCTGCCTTCTGCCAGGCAGTGGGCCATGCACGGCCCTGATCGGACTCCCACCAACCCCCACCTGGATCACCGCCCATCCGCACCTCCGAAATCCGGGCCACGCGCTATGCAGCCCTGACCCGTCCGCGCATGCCCAATTGGGCCAAGACTGAGGGTCCGAGGCCCAATCACCCCAGACAAAGACAGGCAGGCTTCCAGAAACAGGCGGCAGAGGCTTGGGCCTGCGGGGCAGCCCAGTGGAGAACTCCAGGAGGTCCCAACACTCATGCCCAAAACTATTCACTGCGCGCTCAGACAGCGCGATCCTGGTCCCCTCAAACCCCTCATCGAACTCGGGAGGGCCTGCTGCTGTCGGCTGCTCCAGCAGGTTCGGGCATGCGTAGAAGCCGTGTGCCGCAGTTCCTGCCAGACCTAACTCCACTCCAATCATTGCGGGTGGGGGCACATCGGAGACGCTAAGAGGCGCCTCTCGAACCGGTTGGATGCCGACATGAATCCACCAAGCCAGAGCAGTCGTAGTGCGCCAGCCATCTGTGGCCGTCGTACAGCACTCTTGGAACCACCAACGATCAATGGCAACACACGCATCCACACCTTCGCCTCCCTCCAGGTGCTCAGGTAGATGCGAGAGGATCTGCTTGGATTGCCAACGAGAAACACCCTCGCGCAGTAGTTCGCGAAACTCGGTTGGACACGCGTGCGTCAATGAAATCACATTGCCTTCATCACACACCACCGCCGCGCTGCTCCTCCTCTCCCATCCAATGCGCCGCAGAGATAACCAGGTGGCCGCCAGCGGCCCTCTCACTCCCAGCCAGCTGCATGGCCCTGTGCCTCCATTTGGCTTGCAAGGCCCTCCATGCCGACTCAAGCCGCCCAAGCTCGACGCGCTGGTCCCACAGGAAGCTGTTGTACATGTAGCAGATGGCCACCGTCGCTTCGTAGATCGGGTCGTAGAAGCGCACGTCCTGGGTCGACAGGTACAACGTGTGACTGATGCCGCCAGAAGAGACTCCAGCCAGGATGGCCGCGGTCTGCCTCAATTTCTTCAGATCAGAGTCAGGCGCGCCAGACGCAGATGCACCGTGCGCTGACGCACTCGATAGACCAGACTTCCATAACATGTGCACCTGTCCTCCCGCTTTCTTCAGCAGCATCGCCCGTGGCATCCGGGGCATAATTTTTGCGATGCGTGCCTTTGCCACGGGCCTATGAACACGACCACCATGCATGTCATGTCCAATATTCTTGATGCACTTCTTATGCTTGGTCTTCAACACGCCAGCCCAACGCTCAAAGGTAATCCGACCCGCATTCGTGGTCGCCGTGGAAGAAGACTTGGTTGGCTGGACAATCAGCCCCAGCTCTATAGCCTCCATCACGAATCGCCTGGTGGCAAGCGCCAGCGCCCTAGAAACACGAACCCCGCCCCCAAACCACTGCAACGTGGCATCATCAACCAGCGCTCGCGGATGTATAGTAGGGCGCACCATCTTAACTCTCTGCAGGGTCCTCATCATTAACACCGTCAAAAGCGTAGTGGCGTGAGTGCATCCTGGTAGAATACCCTGCCTCACCACGATGATGTCGCCCAGGCTGCCGTACGCCTTCACCGCGCGTGGCATCGCGTAATACGTGACCAACTGCCATATCAACCTGAGCTGATACCTCACCGCCCTAGCCTCCGATATCAGCTCTGCCACCAGCACGGTGTCGAAACACTTCCACATGTCTATCATCACTGTCACAGAATGCTCATTCAGCAGAGTTGCCACCTCGGCGGTGATATTGTGAGAAAGCCGAAGCTGACGACGAATATCTTGGCCTAGCCCCCCCCCCCCCCAGATCAGCTCAGAGGGGTTCATCTCCAACCAAGTTCTCGACGCGGGTCGCCTCACTCGTGCCCACACCATGATGATAGAATGAATCGGGGCCGCCAATCGAGATCCACCGCCTTCCTTCGGAATCTTCACCATCTCGGCGTGGGTGCGATTCGCTGGCCACACCAGCAGGGCCTCACATCGCATGGAGAAACTCGCCATCGCCGCGGGGCCCTGGTCCGATAGGAACACAAGGCCCTGGGCTGCAACCGACTAGGTCCTGCTGTCGTCCTGCAAGCGAAACTAAGGATCGTCGCCCGCATCATGTCCACCGTGATGCACGGTAGGGAGCCCCAGCTCTCGGCATCATCGGGCAACTCCAGCTTCGTCGCTTGGTGGACATTCCAAACGTTAGCCCGCAAGTCGAGCCCCCTGCCAGCAAGCTGATGCGGCGAAAGCTCATTGCCCGAGCCAACGATCCCCTGAGCGGCCTGGACCCTTGAGAAACCTCCCAGGAATCCTTTCCTTAGAAGTCCTCTCCACCGTGCACGCTCAGCCTTATCATGCTCCCAACCTACGCCGAGGAGGGGCCCACTTGGAACACGCAAGCCTGGTCGCCACTGGCCACGCACGCCCAAATGTGGCCACTGCCTCGGGTCCCTCGCGCAGGTCTTACACACCTTGCAGCTCTAACCCGATATTGGTCATCATGATATCCCTAGCTGCACTGATTTCTGTCTCGTTCTCCGCGAAGCATATAGCCTTCTCCACATCATCCCAGTCCAAGGAAAAACGTGGGCAGCCGATCGGCGGAGCCTTGGAAAAGGGACTGGCTCGCAAACGACTGTGCACCAGCGATCCATATAATTTGCCAACACCTGAACGATCACAGGCTTGTGAACCTTGACCTTTGAGGACTCCACTACCTTGGGCGTCCTCAGCCTCGCGGACAAGTTGACGCACGCAATGCCGAAATCAATGATCGACCCAGGAAGCTCAGCCACGCAGGTCGGTGAATCGGGAGCAAGCACGTGCCCGCCAATTCCATCACGAATAGGTCTGCTGATCTGGTTGGGCGTAAGGTTCCAGTCTCCCAGAACCACCCAATCTCTACCGATGCCATTCAACTGCGCGCAATAGTTCGCGATCTTCAGCAGCATCGCTTCATTCTCGGGAGACAAGCCCACGCCCGAAACCAGGTATACTGCAATCACAATCAGGCCTCCTGGAACTCCCCAGGCGACACCAGCGGCGACAATCCCCCCAGCCTCGAGGACAGGGCGCGGAAGCAAGGGGGGCGCCTTCACGACAATGTGGCTCTGCGTCAGGATCGCCACTCCTCCTGACTTACCATCTGAGTGCGTCTTGCCGGCACCCTCGTAGATGCCATGGTATCCCAAATCCTTAAGGTGACGCTGGAGGGCTGGTAGGTCCTCCTTCACAGTCTTGTGCTCCTGCACACTCAAGATCTGCGCAGCGCAACTCTCTAATGCCACTTTGAGCGGAGCGGCTCCGCCAGCATTCACCGATATCAACTCACCCTTTATGCTCATCGCCATTGCTTCTAAATTGTGATCACCCATTTCCCAAGCATGACATGCGAGCTCACAACTCACCCTCTTCTGCAACCTCCCCCTTCTTGGCCGCGGGTGGAAGGAAGTGCGGCGACAACTCTGCAACCCGCTTGGCAGCGTCGCGCAGCCCAGGCAGATCAGCAGGACAAGCGTCACCCAGTAGAGGCCCCAGGTGCTCGCGCAGCTGCTCCTCGGATGCCTTGGCGATGCCCTCGTCGAGCTGCTGCTGCGTCTGCGGCGCGGGGGGTGCCAGGGACGGAGATCGGGGTGTCGGGCACAGCCTCCTCCACGCCATCGCCTGCGCCCTGGGCAGGCTGCCGCGTGGCCTGCGGCATGGCCGACGCCAGCGCTCCAGCCAGCTGCGAGCACTGCTCCTGGGCCACCCCATGCTGCGAGAGCAGCCTGCCCAGCGCCTCGACATCGATCGACATGTCAGGCACCTTTTCGCCGAGCTCCGCCTTCTGCGGGGCTCCCCCGCACTTGGCCGACAGCTCCTGCATCTGCAAGCCCAACGCCGCGACCTCGCCCTCCTGGGTCTGCATTTCCGCCTCGGCCGCCAGCATCTGCTCCGCCAGCTTCTTCCGCTGGTCGTGCAGCGCGACGATGCCATCGCGCATCTTGTCCAGCTTCTCTTGACCAGACTTGAGCCGCACCGACAACGTCCGCAGCTGCGCGTGCATGGGCCTGGATGCCTGCAACTTCTGGTGTACGATCTCCTTCTCAGCGCGTAGCCCCTGCAGGTAGGCCCCGCACTTCCCATCACTGGCGAACTTGCCAAGCACCGCCATCTGCTCATCAATCGACTTGAGTCTGTGCCGCAGCTCGGTGGTCTCCGCCCCACTGAGGTTCTCGCCCGCCGCCTCGGCTCCAGAACCCTGCGAGTCCACGGACATGGCGGCCGCGTCCGACGGAGGGGCCGCCGCAGCCCCATGCGTCTTGAGCCGCTTGACCTTTGACTCGAGCCCCTTGGTCTTTGCAATCGCATCCTTGTAGTCCTTACCCTTCTGCCACGGAGGGCCCCCCCCTTTCCGAAAGGAGGGAGTGGGTGGCTCCACGTGGCACTTGAAGCAGGACGGCATCCACATATAACAGAATGCGCACTTCTTGGCGTCGGGGTAATTCCACCATGCGTTCCCCGTGCGGTCATTAATGCAAGACTTGCACTCCCAGCGCCTCGCGTGCGGCTGCCCCCGCGCCGCCATGAGGAACTGCTGGGAGCTGAATCCGCCCCTGCGCTGGCAGAGACGGCGAGCCGGCTTCCCGACACGGTCAAGAGACAGAGTGTGGGGGCCCAACTCCCATTGTGAAGGCACGAGAAAACGACAGCTGGCCGCGGACTAGCGGTATCCGTTCGGTCCCCTGGGGAACAAAGCATATTGAGCCAAAGTGGCTATGGAGGGGTGGAGGGGGAATTCAGGAGGGAGGAGGAGGAGGAGGAGGTGGGGGACGAGGAACAGGCCGACGGAGGAGGATCAGCAGGAGGAGAAGGAGGATGAACGGCGGAGAGGAGGAGAATTCGGATGAGAAGGAGGAGGAGGAGAAGGATGAATGAGGGCTGCGGACGAGAAGGATTAGCAGGAGAGAGGAGGGAGAAGGAGGAGGAGGAGGAGGAGAAGGAGGAAAAGGAGGAGTAGGGTGAGAAGGAGGAGGAGGAGGGAGGAGGAGGAGGAGGAGGAAGAGGAGGAGGAGGAAGGAGGAGGAGGAGGAGGGAGGAGGGTGTTTGAGGAGGAGGAGGAGGAGGAGGAAGAGGAGGAGTAGGAGGGGGCAGGAGGAGGAGGAGCAGGAGCAGGAGGGGGAGGAGGAGGAAAAGGAGGAGGAGGAGTAGGACTAGAACGAAGCGGAGAAGGAGGAGGATGAGAAAGAGGAGGAGGAGGAGGAGGAGGAGGGGACGGAGGAACATGAGTAGCAGGAGGCAGGATGAGCAGGAGGAGGAGGAGGGAGGGGGAGGAGGAGGCGGAGGAGGAGGAGGAGGAGGAGGAGGAGGCTAAAGGAGGAGGAGGATCAGCAGAAGGAGGAGGAGGGGAGGAGGAGGAGGAGGTGGATCGGAAGAGGAGGAGGAGGAGGGTCAGCAGGAGGAGGGAGGGAGGAGGGAGGGGGAGGGAGGAGGGAGGGAGGGAGGAGGAGGAGGAGGAGGAGGAGGAGGAACAATAATCATACTAGGAGGATTGCAGGAGGAGGAGGAGGAGGAGGAAGAGGAGGAGGGGGGAGGAGGAGGAGAAGGAGGAGGAGGAGTGGAGGAGGAAGAGGAGGAGGAGAAAAGAGGAGGAGGAGGAGGAGGAAGGATCACCTGGAGGAGGAGGTGGAGGAGGAGGAGGAGGAGGAGAAGGATGGTGATGATGATGAGGAGGAGGAGGAGGAGGAATAGCAGGAGGAGCATGAGGAGCAGGAGAAGGAGGAGGAGGAGGAGGAGGAGCAGCAGCAGGCCGTGCCCCCGACGGCCGAGAGGCGCGGCCGCTGATCGATGAGCCGCCCGCGGCGGCGGCCGACGAATGCCTCCCACCTGCGGCGCCGCCCAGAGGAGGCTCGCGGTCTCCTGGTTGGGAGCCTGTTGTCGAGCGGGGGGGGGGGCGTGAGAAGGATCGAGGTTCGATCTTCGAGGCTCTAGCTTTCCGGACGTTCTCGTAGTTTCTTGGCGATGTTCCGCCCTCAGGATGCGTTCCAGCGGCTGCGCCTCGCCGAGGGCGTTCCGGGGGTGCCTGGATCGTCCCGAACGCTTGTCAGAGACCCGAGTTATGAGCCGAAAGCCACATTCGGCGGCGAGCGAAGGGGGAGAAGTGATAAGGGGAAGGCTTTCTCAGAAGGCGGCGGGACTTCTCAGAAGCCCTCGCGTCTGCTGAGAAGTCTTCTATGCCACCAGGGAGGCTCAGAAAAGAACTTGTCAGACAGCCATGGGACGCCCGAGCCTTCTGAGACGGCCCGCGCCTTCTCACTTCCCCCCCCCGTTCGCCGCCGAAGCGCAAAAGGTCGCAAACGGTTTTTCTCTCCCAATTCCCGAGGTCCGCCGAAAGGTTTTGCCGCTCAGCAAAAGGGGGAAACCCTGGGATACACCCCAAGGGGGCTAGTCGGACGCACCCCTTCTCGAGGATGGAACCCCCCCCTGTCGTATATTCCAGGGTTGGGCTTCGAATTTCTGGCCCAGGCGAAAACCCCACGAAGCCTGGACTGGGGGGCCACGTATCCCCTGCTCAACGGAGGGCAGCCAGAGCGCTGGCTGCAGGATCCCGCAGAGCCCCAGCTGACCCAGGTTTGCATTGGCCCTGGTCAGTGCGTCCCCGATGGGAGCGTGCTCGTGCGCGCACCTCGAGTCGCCGGATGGGGCCGCGATTCTCATTCTTTTCGATGCGCCCGTCACCGACCGGGGGGCAGCCGGAGGTGGGCGCGAGGATGCGATGTTTAGAGCCGGTTCGTTGTTCTTTGGCGGCGATCCGATCTGTTTACGAGTCGATCCGATTCGATTTTGCAATTTTAGTCGGTTCGCGTACAGTCAACCCTCATAGAAAGGATCAGCGATTTTCTAAGGCTATCTTCGCATCCTTGCCCCTTCGGCCCATCCTCGGCGACTTTCGCTGGCCAGCCTCGTTTGGAAAACGACAGCATGGCCGTCCAAGGCCCTTGCATCCTTACCGCGCATCCTTATTATACGGATTGGTTGTAACCGTACCAGCCCTTCCAGAACGACGTCCAGGCGAGTTGCCCTGATCAGGGATGCGGAGGAGCATGCAGTGGAATAACGGGCCGTGGAAGACGGCATACCCCAAGAGGGGCAGGATGCAGGAGGAATCGGAAGAGGCGGTGGAGTCGGGAGAGGGGGAGGGGGAGGGAGGAGGGGGGAGGAGGGAGGGGGGAGGAGGAGGAACAGGCGGATGAGGAAGAGGAGGAGAAGGAGAAGGAGGAGCAGGACGAGGGCGAGCAGATAAGCCAGAGGCCTCTCGGATGCCTGTCGGAGTCTCTTCGAATGTCTTGTGAAAGATTCTGTGGGTACTCTTGCAGCGTTTGAGGGGCCTTTTGGCGGTCTTTGGGGCCTCACCGAGCGTCTTGGGTGACTCGGGGAAGCCTCTTGGGGCCTCTTGGGGGTCTCTTGGGAGCCTCTTGGGGGCCTCTTGGAGGTCTCTTGGAGGTCTCTTGGAGGTCTCTGGGCGCAACTCTGGGCATTCTTGGGGGCCTCGGGGGCCATCCTGGGGAACTCCTGGAGGCGGAGGAGACCGATCAAAGAAGGGGACCTGGCATCGCTCGGACGTGCATTTTTCCTTCGGCGAGGACCCTCGAGGAGCATCCTTGACCACTGGGCGAAAACAACACGCATGAAGCCGAAAAAAGCACAGGGAATGGACGTCCGAGCGATGGCGAGGGTAGCCCCCCCAGGAGGCCGACCTGGGCCCAGCGCCGGAGTAAAAGTCGAGGAGCGGTGCTTCCTCGCCGTGAGGCCATCCTTTTGGACGCTCCAATCGGTCCAGCGGGGCGCCCTGTCCAGGCCTGTTGTCCTGTCGGGCCTGTCCCCCTACAGGGGGATTTTCGACGAAAAGTAAAAACTAAAACCCAAAAATATACCAAAAAGGTCAAAACATACTCAAAACATAGTCCCCATACTATGTTTGGACAATGTTTTGACTATGTTTTGGGGGTATTTGTTTTATTTGTCATCGAAAATCCCCCTGTAGTGGGACAGGCCCGACTTAAGCCTATTGGGGAGGGGGCAGGAGGAGGGGCGAGGCCCTCCACACAGATTCTTGGCAGCGCTCGGACGTGTGGAGCATCCTTGAGCATTTAGCGGAAAAGCCATCCATTCGGCGAGGACGATCGAGGAGCATCCTTGAGCATTTGGCGGAAAAGCCACGCACGCAACCGACCAGAAAGCACAGGGAGTGGACGTCCGAGCGACGGTGAGATGTGAAGAAAGGGAAGACGGAGGAGGACACGCCCTGGACCGCCCACGCCCGGAGGACTGGTGGGACTCGATGCGATGCGGCTCAGCCTTGCCTGCCCCCCAGTGTCTTTCGGCGGCGAACCCGTGGGGGAAGTGAGAAGGGGCGGGCCTTCTCAGAAGGCTCGGAAGTCCCCCTGCCTTCAGAAGTGTCTTGGGCCTTTTTCCGAAGACGCAGAAACAAAAAACTTCTCGGAAGGCGCGAGGGCTTCTGAGAAGGCCTTCCCCCTTATCACCTCTCCCCCTCGCTCGCCGCCGGATGTGGCTTTCGGGTCATAACTCGGGCCTCCGGCGGGCGCTCGGGAGGATCCGGGCACCCCGGGAACGCCCTCGGCGAGGCGCAGCCGCTGGAACGCATCCCGAGGGAAACTACGAAAACGCCCGAAAACCTAGAGAGCCTCCAAGCTCTCGGACGACGGAGCAGCACCCGCCCTAAACCACTTGTTCCCAGAGGGCTGGTGTGGGATTCGATCCAGCTCAGCCTGGCCTGCGCCCCCGTGTCTTTCGGCGCCGCAGGCGGCTTCGCCGCCGCGCCCAGCCGGGGCCCCCCCCCCCCAGCCTTGGCCGCCCGGAGGCACGCGCGCGCAGCTGCACCGTGCCGGGGCCCCAGGGGGCCTTTTGGCCAGGCCCGTGGCGGTGGTGCACACAGGAGGTCGTTAGTTTCCCCCCCCCCCTCTGTTTCTGTCGGCGGGTGGCAAAGCTCGTCCCTTCTCTTCCCCATGCTCCTCCTCCTCCTCCTTCTCCTCCTCGTCCTCCTCCTGCTCTTCCTGCTCCTCCCCCTTCTCCTTCTCATTCTCCTCCTCCTGGTCCTCCTCCTCCTGCGGGTGCCGCGGGTGGTGGTAGTGTATACAATCAGCCCTGATAGAAAGGTTTCGGGGCTCAAGCAGCGACGGGGGTCAACGCAAACGGTGGTCAGTCAAGGCGCCGGATCTCTTGCAGGAGCCTGCAGGGCCACGGGGGCATTGACCCGGGTTTGGGTGCAGGATCCTGCAGGATCTTGCAGGACTTTGCAGGATCCTGTAAGGCCCGACTGAGCGGGGTCTGGATTGCTTGATATCTTGAGTCGGGTCAGTACATCTCCGAAGGATGATCGATTTCCCAAGGGTACCTGTGCAGCTTTGCCTTCAGGTCATCTTCTGTCCATCCTCGACCACTTTCGATGGCCAGCCCCGCTCGAAGAGCCTCAGCATGGGCGCCCTGGGCCCTTGCATCCTTACAGTCAACCCGCATAGGAAGGATTGGCGATGTTCCAAGGTGACCCTTGCATCTTTGTCCCTTTGG